AGTAAATCGTAAGTTTCTAAGCGTTGCCATACAAATTTAGTGAATTTCTTTTCATTATATTCATTCAAATACAATTTTAACAAGATTTGCATTTTTATATACTCCGTACAATTCAATTTCGTGCCAAATGAATTTCGTAATAATATATTTGCTATTTGTGTGATAACATATATATTCATACTTGTTCCTTATAATTGATTAATTGTAATTTGATTAAGTTTATTTTAAGAGTTTTCACTTTTCACTATGAAAAGTTAATGAACAAATGGACCATATTTTAGGTGCCTTCAAAGAGAAAAACTTAATAAACAAATGCATCAAATAAGGCAATATTTTGCAGGTTTTACTGTGATTCATTTCAATAATGGTCTTTGAATTTATGTGTGTTACTACATTTTTCTTTTAATTATTTTATTAAATTAATTGCCCTATGTATTTAGTTTTAGTTTTTCGTCTTGGGCATCAAATTTCCTAAAGACGGCCCTGATTGAATTGTTAGCTGAAATTTGGTATGAGTAAACTACACTTAACACTACTAGAAAAAGGACTTTTAACAATAAAAAAAATCGTCGTTATAGGCTCAAAAATTGATCGTTAAAGCTTTTAACGACCACTTTTTTTTCGTCGTCAAGTGGTTGTTATAGGCTCCGTCGTTATTGGTTTTAACGACAAAGTTCGTCGTTAATAATTAACGACAACACAGGATCTCGTCGTTACTTATTAACGACAACAAACTCACTCGTCGTTACTTATTAACGACAACAAACTCATTTGTCGTTACATAATAACATAATAACGACAACATGTCAGCATACATTACAAGAAAAGGCCATTAGCATATGAAAAATTGGTCGCAATGTCTTGAAAGATGGTCGTTAAAGACTCTTTGCGAATTGCGACTATAAATACACTTTACGACTGGTAAAAGAAGTCATTCACTAAAACATATTTGGACCAAATTTATTTTTACTAGCCATTTTGTGTAAAATACATTCCAATCAAACATAAGATTTATTATATTACGATACGATGCACATATAATATCAATGTGTCTTACATGATAGAAATCTAACATCTAACTTGCACGTAATCATTTAACTCTTACTCAATTCTAAACTAATGATAAAACTAATAGATCTTCCAGGTTAGCTTTTGTTTGCTTGAAACAAACTCTAGGCCGTTGAGTGATTTCTTACTTTGTAGGACTATCAAGTCACTTTATTTGGTATAGCTTTAACCAATGAATTTCTTCATTATAAATATTTACAAATATACTTCAATAAGTATATAGCAGTTTTAGGGCACATATTTTTTAATGAAACTTTATAATGTAGTATTCATCTTAGAATACTTCGGAAGCAGATCCATTTCTAACAATTGTTATCATAGTTGTTATCTTTAGGACCAAGTCAGTAAATACAAATTAACTCCAAAAAAACTAGCACTTCAAACCAATACATGCATGCAGAATACAAGTAACTAGGAAACACAAATCAATAAAACAATTTGACTCTTTATTTTATCTCACAGCAACAAAAACTACATACTCATTTAGTAAAACTGAAATTATTGATTATAATAACACTAAGTACTTATCAAAGATTTAGGTTTAGGTAAAACTAGTGAGTGAGTTGTTAAAGTTGAATACTGCATCATTGTTAGATCTAGCTAGGTTTAAATTGAACTAGTTGATCAAAGATTTGGGGCACATACACAGGCAACACATTGCAAACAACGAAGCACATAATCATAAATACAGAGTATTGCAATTGAAACAAAAAGTGGCATAAAGTATCAATAAAACTTTCACCAATCTAAAATATTTTAGAAAACTATGAATAAAGATAGTATTGTAGAGATGTGTTTAAAAACAATTGCAAACAATTCCTCTGAGCACTTTTAAAGTCGAACAAGAATATTAAACCCTGGTGGTAGACCGATTGAGCTAGAGGAAACTTAACCAATCAAACGAGAATGGCTTATGGGACAAGCAGAACGATTAAGCGAGAGCCACGTTGTGCTAATGCCACCAAATGTAGCGAAAAGAAGAAGATAGTCTCGAACATATGAGGAGAGTAGGCAGTAGACTTTGTAGCTTCTTGACAGTCAATAGACTAAAAAGAAAGGGTAGCAGATATAGTAAAGAAGCACAACCCAGAGTATATAGCAGGGAGGAGGTGACACTTGTCCGGTACCGACCAAGAGATGAGTCGGCAATGAAGGCACCAAAGAGCGGCAAGAGAGATGCAGTTCTAGACCAGGCGTTCACATTAGATGATGTTGTCGCGGTTGATTGGCCAAGAGGTCCAATTAAATACCTTATCAAGTTCGAACTTATCGCATAGTAGGTAAATCGCTCCACCACTTCAACGAAAATGATGAAGGATGCAATCTCCACCGCCCTAATCTGGATCTAAAGGCGGTTGGCCTTTTAAATCGACAGAGCCATCGACGGCCTCTTCTACATGAACAAATGGGGTTCCAGCGCCGGGAAGAAGATGTACTCGTATGACAGCCATATGCAGAGGGAAATTCCACGGCGGCGACTCTGAGAATCTCTGAGGGCCAAGATTGAATTTAGAGGACGGAGCTTAGGGCAAATAATTACCGGTTGATAGGAGGTTTATTTTCTTTCCTTTTTACCTATATAAGCGCGCAATTATGTATACTCGTTTAGGAGGGAATCCAATATTTGGGTTGAAAATTGAAATTTTAGCGTCTTATATAATATTTTTTCGTGAATTGTTTTAAAAATTATACTCCGTATTTACAAAGCAAATTAATCACTAATAACGACGATGGCTTATTGACTAATGATGACGACTTTTCATAAATTTCATAAATGGTCGTTAAACACAAAATTAATAACGACCAACTAATTACTGGATGTTAAAAGATACTTTTAACGACGAATTTTGAGAGTCTTCGTTATATATTGGTCGTTAAAAATCATATTTTTTGTAGTGTAATGAATAAGATGCTCATAAAATTTCATCAAAAAATTACACCGGGAATTGCCCCAAATGGCGACGGCCGGACAGAGCCTCCCATATAAGAGCTTATTTGACCTTTTTTAGTTAGTACATGAGCTTATTTGCCCCTTTTTCCTATAATATAATGAAGTCATTGATGATAACTATGATGTTATTAGTATTTTTAAAATATTTTATGACTAAATTGACTTTTAAGAGTGTTAACTATTTCTTAAAATAGAAATGAGAACCTTTAGATGAGACATTCACAAAATGAAAGTGAGAACCTTAAACCGGGACTGAGGGTGTAACCATTAATAGTTGATTATAATAGTAATTGTAGTGACTATACAAATCAATTGCACACAGCAACGAACATGATGTTATAATAACAGTAAGTGTAGTCATATTTTTATATGGGACAAAGCTAACGTTTAGCAGTGACCCACAGAGCATCCACAATGCACCACTTTCTAGTCTAAATAAATTATGCCACATATCAAATTATTAAAAGGCTTTCTAGTCTATGTGATAAATAGTGGAGTGAGTAAGCATAAACGTACATAAAAAGGCTCCAATGCATGAAGTCACAAAAACCAAGTCAATGTCCAACTTGAATTTATTTTATTAATTAATAATTAAATCTTTTTCACTCAAACCGTTGCATGCCCTAGTATCCATTTGGAATCTAATTCCAATAACCCCAGACATTGCATCTTCTTTCTTTTTTATGCTAGATTAGGAAAAACACGCCACATCACAAAATGGGACATTCACTACTTATTTGGCTCTCCAATGGTTGTAGTCTTTAATTACAATTTGGTGACATGGCAATAAAAAAATGCTAGATTTTATGGTACCCATAAGGTACTGTACCTTTGTCCACATGGACCAATGAGAATGTAGCAGTTGAATTATTTAAATCTAAATTAAAAATGATAAAGTGATGTGGTCCAATCAAATGAATGATAGGTACGATACCCCATATTTTAGAAAGGTACCGGAGTTGTCACCTAAAAAATTAAACACCTTGAAGGAAGAGGTTTGAGTGTGGAAAGCCTTCAAAACTTGCTGACAAGATAAAAAAACCGGTGCTTCTCTCGTGGAGTTCTGTACGTGTGGGATCTCAACATATGTTCACCGAGGAGCTCAACATAATCAAATCTCACCAGCCAACTGAAATTGCCAGCGAAGATTGCAGCGTCGCCGAAATCCGCCGTCCTTGACGCCGCCAAAATCTGCCGCCTCTTCAAATCCACCGCCGACTGGGTTCTAATTCTTCTCCTCCGGCGAGTGATAGCAAAAAATTATCATGGAAGCCTCTTTGAATTTGTAGGGCAGCCGCAAGTATAAGCAAACGAATACTCCTGGGATTACTTTGATTACGCAGTGGTATTTTAATTTAACAAACACAGTAATAAAATTAGAAGCAAAAGTCGAACAGTGAAAACTGAAAAGTTAAGCATTATTGGAACCTTTTTGGTAGTTCACATATCGAGTCACTCGACTTCGTATTAGCTGTACTAGTAAATCACCCGTGCGATGCACGGTTTGTAATTTGTTTTCCAAAATTGGTTGCTGGAAACAATGACGTAGACATAATTGGAACGCAAAAAGCTGTATGCTTTGGCAATAGTGATGTACGTGCAAGAGAAAGTTAAAATATATGATAAATCTATATAAACGTAGTTGGGCACATATTATGTTAGTATGTCAAATAGAGGATTAAGCACTGGTAAAACGTCTGGAAATACAAAAGAGGCTAATAAAGAGAAGACCATCACATAAGTGACTATAATGTGGCATTACACGTTGTTGAACACTTCCTTGAAAACAACATTTTGAGTTATATTCGTAGTGCTTCCGCTGTCATCATAAATTAAAATTTTCAGCCCACGGCGACTTGTAACCCTGGAAACGGCAACATACAATTGACCGTGGGTAAAGACGGGTTTTTTCAACAATAATCCTACACGTGACAATGATTGACCTTGACTTTTATTTATAGTCATAGCATATGAAGTCATAATAGGAAATTGGCGCCGCTGAAATTTGAATGGCAAGCTTGAATCAGAAGGGGTCAAAGACAATCTGGGAATTAGTACTTTTTTTCCAGCACTTACGCCAGCTAAAATTGTTCCTTCCAAAATATGATCTCCTAGCCTCGTTAGAATAAGGCGTGTCCCGTTGCATAATCCCATTGAATGATCTATATTCCGTAAAAGCATTACAGGAGTTCCCACTTTTAACGTTAACTCGTGGTTTGGCACGCCAGACAATTTGATGCTGTTCAGGAATTCTGGTGTATGTAATTCGGTCATCAAATCGGTCGTGCAATCGACTTTTGAAACGCTGTCTGAACTAAGATAGGTTCTTGAAATTTCGCTGACATTGAGTGATGTCATATACTCATTTATGGCTTCAACAACAGCGAGTGTGGGTGCCAAAATTGCACGGTCACACAAAGAACTTATATTTTGTGTTGATTCAACATACTCTGGAAAGATGCTTTGAACAATTGCAGCTATCGGATCTTTATCTGTACGGATTAACAGATCTTCAGGAATAGAGATATCAGCATGACAATCATTACTTTCACCAGCAATCCCATCACCAATACCGGCGATCCAATTGGAAAAAACTTTCAAGGCGTACGATTCCTCTAGATTAGTCATGTGCTGCAAACGCATATTTTTTGTTAATCGCATTACCGTGCATTTAGACCAAAGGTATGATGAATTTATTGTAGCATTGACAACATCTTGTCTGCTTCCATGAGGTATCACTGGCAACACTTGACGAAAATCACCACCAAACACTATTGTTTTTCCGCCATAAGGAAGACTTCCACTGTTAGGTGTATGAAACTGCATTATGTCACGCATACTGCGGTCTAACGCTTCAAAGCAGAACTTATGCAACATTGGAGCCTCGTCCCAAATTATAAGCTTACAACGTACAATAAGTTTTGCAAGTGGACTTCCCTGCTTAATATTACATGTTGAGTCTTCATTCAAACTTATCGGAATTCCAAACCTTGAGTGCGCCGTACGGCCACCTGGTAAAAGAAGAGATGCAATACCGCTGGATGCAACATTAAGAACAATTTCACCTTTAGACCGAATGGCAGCAGAAAGTGTCTTCCATAAAAATGTCTTTCCTGAACCTCCGTATCCATAAATAAAAAAAATACGCCCGACGGCTTTATTAATGGACTGCATGACTGACTCATATACTCGTTCCTGCTCATCTGTAAGGCACTCGAGCAAGGTAGAATGTTCTTCAGCTAATGCTATTCGGTCATAACGCATTTCTTCGTATATGAGTCTATCGTTGGAGGACAGTAGTGAATCAAGTACAACAGTAGGCATGGGTGGGTAATCATGCAAACTCTTTCCACGACTTTGTAACAATCTTTCTATTTCTTGTAAAGTAAAGGACTGTAATTGATCATCTGTCAGAACTAATTCTGTAAAGAAGAATTGCAGTTATATGTCAAATAGATAAATGTGAGCAGAACAAATGCATAAAATCTTATGAATAATTCAAAACCTATAAACATGATGCATGGTATAATACTTGGGCAAAGTATCATGAAAATGAATACCTGGATGCTGTAATATTCTTCTTCGATTGTACTGTATATCATCAGCCATGAACAACCAACAATTTTCCCAAACATATTCTGGTCGAGCCATGGAGTCTGTCCACAATAATATCACAAAGAGAATCCTTAGACCATAGGCAGATGAGAATTGACTCGCTTCTTTAAAAGCATCGATGAATTCTTTATCATCTTCAAGCAATCCCAAAGCATAGCATGCATCACGGAAAGAAGCATATGTTATACCGTTTAACGTTCTCAAATCAGCATGACATGTTGCACCCCTAATGTGATTTAAAAGGCACCTTATGTAATAGGATTCACCAGTTCCAGGATGAACATAGTAGATTCTTCCAATTGCAAAAGCTTGTTTTCTCGGAGCCCATTCTCTTGTTTTTTGTTTCCAAACAAATTTTTGAGGAAACTCAGCGTAGGTCAACAATTTTGCATCTGGATACTTTTTGTTAGCTTCCATCCACGCTGTGAACATACTATGTTTTACGGAATAGGTCTTTACCACTAAATCCAGAGGTTCACCATCATGGAAAACCACACTCTGTTCTTCAGGTAAATGAAAGCTCAAACGTTCTACAGGCGGATTCTTATACTGAATCTCAAATCCAAATATTCGCCAGGCAGCTTCGCAAGCAGAAATGTATCTACAGTCATAGTACATCTGTATTTCATCGACTGGGTTTTGTTTTGTCTCACCGTCAACTGATTGGAAAAAACCTGCGGTTACCCTGTCGCGCCCTTTATTAATGTACTTAAACAAATATTTTATGGACTTTGATTGATTACACCATTCAACGTTCATATGAGCGCCATATTTGAGCAACAAATAACGGTTGTGCGGCACAACAAATCTGTTGTCTAAATCAACTTTATTCTTTGATATTCTACGGTCGTTATGACGGCGCATATAGATCGGGAACCCATCATCGTCAACAGTTGTCTCTGCACACCATTCCTTTGGAAAATGTTTAGTGCACTTGCCATCAACCATGCAAGGAGCAGATTTGACACTACGACCGCATGGGCCGTGCATCATAAAGTTTCCCACTGCAGCATAATATATAGGGTCAAGGTTCATATCTGGGATTTCGGCAGAGATAACCCTATCTATGTCAACAGGCGAGGGTAATTTATCTTCAATGGACAGCCAAAGCAAAATGTGGGCATGAGGCAAGCCACGTTTTTGAAATTCAATAGTGTAGACAACTGCAATGAAGTAAAAATGAAGTCATAGTAAATATATGTATGTATATATATGTGCACACATACATTTATATATATACATATGTATACATATATATTTTAGTTGTTTTAAGAAAGAGCATAATGTATACTACCTCCTCTAACACTCCCAAACACTTTATTTTTTCGAAGATCTTTAATTAAACCGTCAAGTTTCATCTTGAACACTCTACTTATTATATCTGGCCGATCCTCCGCTTTCAAATTTCTTTGATGGAGAAAACGATCAATCTCCGGCCATCTAGGGTTGCATGTAAAGGTGATAAATAAATCTGGATAACCTGCCCATCTGCAGATGGCCATTGCATCTTGATAATTTTGTATCATGTAACGCGCTCCTCCAGTAAATGTTGGAGGCAATACAATTCTTTTACCCTGTGTACGTGAATCATTTTCTCCACGCAAAAATGCATCATTTAAACCTTTATACATTTCGCAACGTAGTTGTGTTTGATGCGTTCTAACAAATCTCAATCTTGCAGACTCAATCAAAGTATAGCCGTCAACAACAAATTGTTGGAATAACCTTTTCGCTTTCAACATTGAGGAATGGTTATTGCATCGTTCCTGTACACGAAATGCTAGGAACTCCCTAACACTAACTCTTTTTCTACCGCCACCATTACTAATACTACTATATTTGGACAACATTGTATCTTCACGATAACCGTCCTCTCCGTAAGGAAACAGTAATGGATATTGAAGGCCAAAATACGCTGGATTTAGTTCATTTATCCTCTGGAGTGTACCTGACTTTGTTTCAACCAAAATATCCCTCTCTCCCAAGGATTCGTCAAAATCACCTACGACTAATGCGGCGACCTCAGAAACAGAAGGTAAATTATAAGTTCTTGCATCACCATAACGTTTCCCAATAAGTTTTAGCCGCACGTTTGGGACACTGGTTGTGTTAATCTTTTCTCGAGCAAGGCGAAAAGATTTTACCAAGACATTATGTTTATTCAGCATCTCGGTCAACCCGAAAACAATAGCTTCATGCAACTTCTTTTCCCGTGTAGCATCACTATAACAAAAGCAGAAAAATTATAGCTATTGCACATAGAACAAAGAACAGTATAAAGTAATTGGGGCGCACACTTACGTAACGGAGGAAATTCGATTTTGAAGTTCATTGTCTGTATCATAAATATATAGTTGTGCGAATTTGGGTTTCGCCCCAGTCGGAGGCAATAGGCTTCCAATCAGGTGATAATTTTGGCCATGAAGTTTGAAGATTGGCGGTGACCTTCCTTTGTTAATATTTCCTGCTATTTTCCCTCCCATTGAGGTAAACGCAAACATACTGTTATATGATCTTATATTTTCAATGAAATGGTTGCTGCGTTCATCTGCCCCATTAATCAGTTGAGATAAGAACAAAGGAGGTTCTTTCATCACAGGCAATACAACATTTCCCTTGGAGCAACACAGTGAGTATTTAGGATTTTCCTTTGAAGAAGTGGATATCACCCGTTCGTCAAACCAAAACAAAGCTTTGCAAAATTTGCATACGCAGTTTGAATCACCGAGGTCCCAATAATCTATGATGAAGGGGAGATTAGAAAATAGTATTCAATCACATAAAGACAATTGAAAGAACAATAAAGGTGGGTAAGGAATAGAAATATGCAGCACGTACCAACATGCCTGGTGTTTGTAATAGTAGGAAAAGCATCATAATCAACATATTCATCATCTACATCACTATCATCAATCGACGATAAATTCAAATCGTCTGTCGGAGATGAAGGTAGAGGGATGGCATTTGAGGTCTCTCCATCAACTTGGCCATGACATGCTTTTGGAGTGATAAATATAAACATTTAATTGTTCAATAATCACAATATGTCATGTGTACAATCTAAGAACAAATAAGATAGCAAGAATACGTAAAAAGTATCCACTATTGCATAAAAAATTTACCATAACTATTATCCTTGAAACATGTATTTTGATGTTGATCCAATCCTGGGGTGTGATATGTAGTTGCTGGATTGGAATGCCGAAATCCAGCGTGAGTTGTATTTTGAGGGCATGAATCTCTGTCATCTTCGTAAACAACTACAGGCGTTTTTTTAGAAAACACACAAATAATGAGTATAAATAATCAGGAAAAACGCGAATATTATTTTTGGGGAGGTGAAAGAATATTGATTTTTTGAAAAACAACAGGAAATTTTTTCTTGGTTTACTTATTCTGTTAATAACTTATTTGCTTTATTGTATTATTTGTTCACATGAGGCATTACACTTATAAACAAATTCAACTCATTTTATCTCGTACAATCGACACATTTTTTGTGTTGTATTTATAACCGAAGTTTATATTCATATGGTGCAATAAAATGCATAAGGGATGGTGAAGATTTAAATTTATAAAGAATAAAGTAACCCAATTTTCTACCGACCCAGAACTATTAATAGTGTCCCACCTGCACACACATAGAGCACATATGCAACGCTTACTGCTTTTTATTCAAATCATAACCCAACTGCCATTTTCCCAACTGGCCTTTAAATTTGTACATTACAGCACACACATGGTGCACTGGTGGATGTTTAAAAATATTAATCCATCTGTTAGCAACAGTAGCTCAATTCTTTCTGGAGTACAACTTTGGAGACTAAATTAACCTAAGACTTAATAAATACTGCCCAACAACCCTCCCTTTGATATTACGAACCGGTGAGACAGCCATGGGCTCATTAAATATCGTGAACAATACTAAACCTCAATCTTCACAAACGAAGTTCAAACTCAATCCCGCAGTCCAATATTTTATCTAATATTCACCCTCAACGACAGGCCCCAGTAAAATGAAGGTGAAGCAAAAGCAGTCTAAAGCAATAGCTAATTGGCTGAGCGACGATGTGGATCCAGAATCTCAACACGACCGAGAAGCAAGTGGAAGGGTATGTAATATCATTTTTTTCTAAAGTTTTCACTGGCTACAGTTTTATATGCTTGTTAGTAATGTTCATTACTAAGAATGTTAAGTAATGCGAATGAGGCAATTTTACACATGGGCTTGCTCATATTTTTTAACGACTTGGGAGTAATTGATAAACTCAATCAGTAAACATAGAGTGGTGCCTCACAGCAGGGAGATATCAAAAGGTTTGGAAATAGACGTTCATTGATATTGAGCAATTCGCAAAATTGCGGCACTATACGGTATGAGTGGGTGTTTGACAGAAGGAAGACATGAACAGGTTACAAAATGTATTTTTAATTTACATTGAATTACACATATTTTTTATATGGGATGATTAAAAGACATGCTCACTCAGTGAATCAGTTTATTGTTGATACGGCCCCAAGTTTAATTTCATTTTTTATAAACCACTTCGGCTCAATTGGATGTTTTGTAGCAGGCACGGTGTATGAAGGGGGTTAATATTTTTTTTGTAAAAAATTTGGCAAAACATAATCAAATAAAACATATTATGGAACACAAAACACAATTTTGCAATCGGTCAATTTAATTTTGCACTAAGTGCAGTGAAGTTAGCATTGTGTGATTCAGACAGTAATTAAGAAACATTGATTGTGCACAGACAACGTTTACCTGAATTTGGTCTCTTGGATCCTATTATGCATGATTTAGTTAGCTTAACCATGATCAGGCCCACTCACAGCTTCACTGACCTAAAATTACTCATCACATAAAGTCTTATAAAGGACATAACAGGAATAGCATTTAATATTATACAACCATAAATAACCACGATCACATTTGTTAGGTATCCTCAAGATCATACACATATTATGAACACAATACTTTGTGTTCATTTTCTTTACATATCAAAAAAGCTACCCAGACAATTCTCCCGAGGGATCTGTAAACGCAAGAACTCAAAATATAAGCACCCGATACTCCAAATGCATGTTTCAGTTAGGAAGGCCAGTGAGCCAGCCAAAACTTATTTCAACAACAAATTCACTTTTAAAATATTTTCTATTCAACTTTTTAATGCGTGAGGAGCGACGCAACACAACATCCGAGTGAGAAATTGTGTCCTGGGTTTCGTCACCATGATGGTCCACTGAATGAACGCTCGTACGGGGTGAAAAAATCGAATCCAGAGATGGTGTGGGGTAAAGAAAATGAAGATTAAGTTTGTCCAGACAATGCTCACACTTCCAATCTGTGAGCGTTTCAGGGATTGGAGCAAAAGTGCAGAACATATGCACCCTTTTCCCACAAAACAAACATTGCAGCACAATAGTCCCTAAACCCTCACCTCCACACACATGACACACTAAAGGAGCCATTTGAAAGTCCACCTTGGCTGCAGCGAAACGTAATACATTTTTCAAAGACATCTCAAATAAGGATGAGATAATGGTATACAGACACTAATAAGTAATATATACATTGAATAAAAAGGGGCAGTGCCTTCATGATTCGAAAAAGAAAATGCAACATATTAAAACTGGAAAGAGGAAATGACAAACATTTAATACTTTGTTATTTTAAGGTTTTTTGTATTATCTTTTATGAACAATACGTAGTAAGAATGAGTACGTGATTAAAAGATAAGTGGTATCACCTTGCAGGAAAAGGAAGAGATGACGGCCTACAAACCGCGAAGAAGAAATTGTATGCCGTTGTGAGAGAGGGGAAAAGGTACGGCGTAGAGGTATTGTATGCGCAGCGCCGTTGTTTACAGTAATAAAACGGGGTTAGTTTACCTATATACAGACAGCCCAAGTTAAGTAGATAATGGTCATGCAAGCCGCCTTTGGAAAAGACTCGTTCGTTTTACATGAAATAATACGACATACAACATGGAATAATAATGACATTTTTTTCCCACATACAGAGAATTTTCAGAGCAGCCCAACTTTAATCTGACTATTATCTATTCCCATATTAGATAATCCTCTGACGTCTCACAGTCCACCACTAACCCCATCCGTAAAATGACTCCCATACCTAAATTTTACATTTCAATGTAGCGCACAGAGCAAAGCGTAGATGAAGCTATCATTGTGCTGCCCATACGGGCCAGATGATAAGCTAATAAATAAAACTCCAAATACGGAGCATTATTTACTGTCCTAGAATGCCCAATTGATCCGAAAATAATTTTATTTTGGTCAAAAGATACATTTCATTTGCCTAATCAGGAATTGATTTTTACGGTTTATTAATTTCTATATGAATAATGTGGCTACAGAATATGTAATTTAATTTACTATAAATATAATTAATCATTTAATCAGGGATATCAAGGATTGGCTTCTATTGGCAGTAGTTCAAAAAATGATGACTTTCCCAAAGTTCCGATTCATAAGAACGACATTTAAATTTTTAACTCGAACTTAAAATGACAATCACCTTTGGTCGTTCTATACATGGCACACAAATAAAATC